ATTAGATTCCGTTTATGTCCGTATAATTTAGTAAGTTCAAGGGGAGCCGGAGTGCAACACCGTGGACAAGCCATCTCGTGATAAATAGAATAAATCATAAGTTAATAATAAATAAACATAATAATAAATAATAAAGAATAAACTTTAATCTACACTACCTGAGGATATTTCCACATGAGTTTCATCTTTCCCGGGCTAGTGGTTCTTGAGAAGATTTTTTTTTAAAATGCCTTTATTTTTTTCTCTAATTCATAATTATCTCCCATTTGAAAAGGGCGTGGCCCTTCATTTGAACAAACTTGAATCCCCTTTACCCAAGCATGCTCTGTAGCAAGTTTGGTTGAAAAGTTAACGACAACGACGACAACAACGACGACAGACAACGGACAAATTTTGTTCAGTAAAGCTCACCTGGCTCAGGTGAGCTAAAAAGTACATAAAACTCATTTTCTTTAAAATACTTCTCGAGAAAAATTAATAAAAACTCCTTTTGTAAAGAAGAAACATTAATGAATTAGATAGCACAAAAAAATGAATTAAAATTTAATGCACTTATGTAGAAAAATATTTTTAAGGGACCCCGACCCTTAGCCAGGAAGGACAACTCTTTTATTATTAATTTAATTCAAAAAGTCTTTAAATTAAGCTTGAAAATTAAATCTTTTCATGCAACAATTTTCATTATATGCCACCTCAATGTGCTTCAAGGTTCTTTGAACTTCTCAGAAAGGTCTAATTTAAGGTAGATTTTTTTTCCTGATAATGTATTATTGTAACGCACAATTTAGTGTGCAAAAAGTCCAACTATCAAAACAGACTCGGTTGATTAGCTTTTAAGTATAAATAATCTAAAGGTTTCTCGTCAAACCGGCACCCATTGTTTACGAATTTTTTGTGACATAATCCCAGACGTCTGTTGTTCTTCTATTTAAAAAATAAACCCGCACCCTTTTTTCCATCGGTCACTCCGTGCCATGTGTCCATTGATTATGATTAGGGTGTCGCTCTCAGTGTACTGCATAATTTTCTGTTAGGAAAACCTTTATCTCTAAAGCGTTTATTAGACTGCGGTGCCAGGCCAAATCGTCATCAGGGTTACTAGATAAAACCGGAAATGAAAGTATTTTTTCTCTATATATGTCACAAGTCACATGGTGTGGAGGACCATTAATACAAACTTTACGTTGACTGCAATAACTATGGACCTGAAATTGTGCTTTAACAACAAAAAACTACTAAAATGGCTTTAAAGACGTCAATTTTCCCCGATTATGTAAGCAATGTATTACACTAAAGCTGTTTTAAAAGTCAATAAAAACCCTACGAGCTCGTAGAGGAAAAAATCAAACGTTTGAACTTTATTGGGTTCTTCCCTGGAGTTGAAGAATTCCACTAAACGAAGGACATGTGTGCAATATTTTTAAAGTCTATATATGAATTTGTACACCTCTTCTAAAATATTTTTAGCTCACCTGAGCCGAAGGCTCAAGTGAGCTTTTCTGATCACATTTTGTCCGGCGTCCGTCTGTCCGTCTTTCTGTCCGTCTGTCTGTCTGTCCGTAAACTTTTCACATTTTCGACTTCTTCTCAAGAACCGCTGGGCCAATTTCAACCAAACTTGTCACAAAGCATCCTTTGTTGAAGGGTATTTAAGTTTGTTCAAATGAAGGGCCACACCCTAATTCAAGGGGAGATAATTGAGAATTAGTGAAAATTGGGTGGTATGTTTTAAAAATCTTCTTCTCAAGAACCACTGTGCCAGGAAAGATGAAACTTATTGGGAAGTATCCTGGGGTAGTGTAGATTCAAGTTTGTTCAAATCATGTTCCCCGGGGGTAGGGCGGGACCAAAATGGCCGACCAAAGTTTTACATAGAAATATATAGGAAAAATCTTTAAAAATCTTCTTCTCAAGAATGACAAAGCCATAATTCATCATATTTATATGGAAGCATATTCAAGTAGTGTAGATTGAAATTTGTTCAAATCATGACCCCCCGGGATTGGGCGGGGCCAAAATGGCTGACCAAAGTTTTACATAGATATATATAGGAAAATTCTTTAAAAATCTTCTTCTCAAGAATGACATAGCAATAATTCATCACATTTATATGGAAGCATGCTCAGGTAGTGTAGATTCAAGTTTGTTCAAATCATGACCCCCGGGGGTAGGGCGGGGCCAAAATGACTGACCAAAGTTTTACATAGAAATATATAGGAAAATTCTTTAAAAAATCTTCTTCTCAAGAATGACAAAGCCATAATTCATCATATTTATATGGAAACATGATCAGGAAGTGTAGATTGAGGTTTGTTCAAATCATGACCCCAGGGGTAGGGCAGGGCCAAAATGGCTGACCAAAGTTTTACATAAAAAATATATAGGAAAATTCTTTAAAAGTCTTCTCATCAAGAATGGCAAAGCCATAATTCATCATATTTATTTGGAAGCATGTTCAGGTAGTGTAGATTGAAGTTTGTTCAAATCATGACCCCCTGGGGAAGGGCGGGGTCAAAATGGCCGAACAAGGTTTTTAAAGATATATATAGGAAAATTCTTTAAAAATCATTTTCTAAAAAATAGCAAATCCATGATTGGTCATTGGACTACTTGGGTGTTATGTTTTAAAAATCTTCTTCTCAAGAACCACTGTGCCAGGAAAGATAGAACTTATTGGGAAGTATACTGGGGTAGTGTAGATTCAAGTTTGTTCAAATCATGACCCCCGGGGGAAGGGCGGGGCCAAAATGACTGACCAAAGTTTTACATAGAAATATATAGGAAAATTCTTTTAAAATCTTCTTCTCAAGAATGACAAAGCCATAATTCATCATATTTATATGGAGGCATGTTCAGATAGTGTAGATTGAAGTTTGTTCAAATCATGACCCCGGGGTAGGGCGGGGCCAAAATGGCTGACCAAAGTTTTACATAGAAATATATAGGAAAATTCTTTAAAAGTCTTCTCATCAAGAATGGCAAAGCCATGATTCATCATATTTATTTGGAAGCATGTTCAGGTAGTGTAGATTGAAGTTTGTTCAAATCATGACCCCCTGGGGTAGGGCGGGGTCAAAATGGCCGAACAAAGTTTTTAAAGATATATATAGGAAAATTCTTTAAAAATCATTTTTTTAAAAAATATCAAATTGGACTACTTTTGGATTTAAACTTTACAATAAAAAGCAATTTTCTACTTTTTCCTACCCTTAGTGCTCAGGTGAGCGATGTGGCCCATGGGCCTCTTGTTTAATGGAAAAAAAATCTGGAATTTATGTTATGTAATTTTGGTACATTTTTTTTTGGATTAATACAAAATTTTTAAAATTTGATATCTTTCCAAATCCCCTGATAACGCATGCTGATTTTTTTTCAAAGAAGATGTAATTGTACTTTATGTTTAAATTCAGAATATCTTGAAAAATTATCAGTAGGTAAGGTATGTTGCGTACTGTGGAATCATCATTGTTCGTGGGGGACCAATGTTCGTGGCTTTCGTGGGTAACCTTGACCCACGAATTTACATACCCACGAACGTATATAAAAACATTTGGTTTATCATTTGTTAAAAGTTATTTACGTCGTAAAATAATTGTTACCCTTGTGCATGTTGTGTCCGAGCAATCTCGCATTACGAAGACTATCTGCATGTTGTTAATTATTGACACGAAACCAAAATTTAAAAAATATTAAGTATCAAAGACATCGAGAATTATATACAATAAGTAATAAAATGCCAAATACAACTCTTAAATTTAAGTAGTGTTTACATTAAAGTCCAACACGCTCAAATGCCCCTTCGATGAGGTCAATGTTTAGTGCGATTTTGGAGTGGGTGCTAATTAGCCCATTAGCATGATTTGGTTTCAGGATAAACGTTTTTAAGTCAATTTTTGCATTGTTGTCGTAGTTCTCATGTCACAGGCTGAATTATAATTAATTAATTAATGTTACTAATTATCATTCCTGTCATTCGGCTGTAATTTGTCGGCGCAAGCCGCCGGTACATTTTTGTTACAAATCACAAGACAGATAACTTAAATAAGCATTATTGACGGGGTAATCCTTCTTTGTTTTAATGTTGGAGGGAAAAAATCAAAATGGAACTTGTTACCAACGAAATTACGTCCCCACGAACCAGGAAATTTTTGGCTACCCACGAACATTGACCCCCACGAATAAAAATGATTCCACAGTATGTCCTTAAATAAATGAAAATGTGTTTGATAACATTGAAAACTTGCAGATAAATGGTCCTCTGAGATATACACATGTGATTGTAAATGAACAGGATGCTGTAAATCTCTGTCTCTGGGTTTTGTTAGTCACTCTATCCCCGAAATTACATCCCCACACACATTTATGTTGGAAATAAATTGATTTTTCCCTCTAAGCAGGGACCCAACATTCAGAAAAAAAATGATTGCCCAAGAACATTGACCATTAAATATTAAAATGATTACACTTTAATTGTGCTAACCAAACAACAAGTGATATCAAAAACTTCAATTTAACCATTCATAGAAAAAGATAAGATTTCGGTAAAAAATAATTAATTTGATACTTTTGGCCTAAAACAAGATGCAGAGAATGAGAAAAAAAAGAAATTGTCTGTTTATATATGGAAACTTGAAGTAAGTTTACTTTGATTTGCGTAAGACCATAAGATGATGTACCAGAAAAAAAAACATGAAAAGGACAAACAGATTCTAAAGCTTGCAAGTTCTGTTTTTGATGGCGCTGAAATTCTCAGGATTCAGCTGTGTACTTTACTTTTATGGAAAACGAAAGTCATTTAGTCTTTAAGATTAAATATGCTCGTAAGAGGATCAGTCACACTTTCTTCTATTTATAGTTAATTATCAATTTAAAGTGAATGCAGCTGGAGTGAACTACTTAACAATCATAGATGCTCTAAATAAAAATATATTTTCATAGAGAAAACAAGGCAACACACCATTTAAAAAGAATTTCTTTAATTATTTTTCACTTCTTTTTAGAATATAAGTACCTTGAGAACAAAGACTTTAGGGAGCGTTTTCTGAAATACCTTGAAGAAGGATCGATAAAGGTTTGCCCGATTTCACAAATTATAATTGTTGGTGAACATGGAGTAGGAAAAACAACTCTTCTCTACCGCCTCCAAGGGAGAAGTCAGGAGGAAATAAAAGCGATAAAATCAACACGAGGAGTGGAATGCCATACAGAACATCACAGCTTTATCATTACAAAAAATCAGCTCAGTATGTATTAACAATATTGACAATTTTGAAAACATACTTTTGATTTTGGTATGGAATTAATATACTGTATTTAAGTGCTGACTTCATGATAGGGGTTCACAGGTTAGATGCTTGTTCACGAGGCCATATAAAAGAACTACGAAGGATAGTATTGTTCTCCCGCCTACCTCTAAGTCGATTTTCAAAAGTAATCTTGTTCGAATGATTTTCAAAATTTTTATAGATATTTATATACATTTTCATAAAACATTACTTATTTGGGATATCAAGAGAGATTACTCTATGATTTTGGTGAAACTTGTGTTTTTCACTATAGAAATCAACAGAAAACGGAAAATATATTTAAAATATCTCCTCCCCCCCCCCAAGTGAAACAAAAATTCTTTATTACAGGTAATATGGACTGTCATTTTACAAATTTATGCCAAAGCTTTTTGTGTTTCACGGGCGTTTATAGACAAAAAAATGCTGATTTTTCAGCAATGTTAAAGCTATTAACAACCTAATAATTGTATTTTATGAATTTATATATGTTTTATCTATTTGCGTAAAACATAACAAAAGATATGAGATACATTTAATCATATTTAAGACTCTTTCAAAATATGGTGATTATTGAAAGTTCGAATTCACTAGAAAATATCGTCCACCCCCCTTTTTTCAAGAGCTGGAATTAATAATAATTTACTATCTAGCCCTGGAATTAAAATGATTAATGAATTTCCATAGAACTTTTCTTTGTGTTTAACAAAGATTTAATGGCCAAATTGCCATTAAAATTGAATGTAATGGGTGCAAAATGTAGGCGGGAATCAAGAATTAAAGCTCCTAGTTCTTTGTAACATTCTTCACAGTTTCTGGCATCAACTATGAACTATATGGGTCTTTTGGATAGGAGTTTAAAACAAAAATTCACGACAAAATGTCCCTTAGTTTCAAGTAAAGGACCGCACTTGGATTTGAATTTTGTTTGATGTCGATTTTTTCGAATATCTGTTTAAAATCACGTATGGTCATTCTAACGATATTTTAACCCTTACCCTGTTGAAAAAGCGGGTAACACTATTGTCTTCGTTTGTAAGGCTTATTATATAAATTGTATTTTAGACAAAATTTATTCGACTTTATTCTATACGCAAGACCATGCTCTACGTATGAACAATTTCTAAGATGAGGTATATTATTGACAAGCAAGTTCATGGAACAAGAATATCAACTGTCTCGTTTAAAGTAATCAGTTTGTAAGTTCTATGGTCAATAAAATGACCTTGTCAGCAAATACAATTGATCATCCAATCAAATGCTGACTGACGTTTTTCATACATATTGTTAATCCATTATTTATACATTAAATTTTCAACGGATTTTCCCGTTATTTCCTGATCATGACAAGGAACACACGGCGGGTGTGACCGGTTAGCAAGGAATGCTCATGCATCCATGGCACCTGAACCAACCTCGGATGTTTCAGAAGTCCGTGTTTGCTCTGCTCCTGAAACATTTTTCATCTTTGCAATCCCCTCATTTCCAGTACTTGGAATTTACGGAATATTCCAGATTCAATAAATGTATCTTTAACTTCAAACAGTAGCTCAATCGTACCTCATGTAAAAAAAAAACATAATGGCTGCTACTTCTGTGTGTCAATTATTACCTTCCCTGGTTTCCCAACACCACAGTTACTACGGTAAAATTATTTAGCTCTTAAAAGTCAGTACAATTTTACATTCACACTTGTTTTATTATTTAAAAAGGAACCACCTTCTATTCTTGGCCAAATTATTGGAGTATAACCTGGTTTGGGTCATTTACGCTTCGTGCATTTTTAAGCATAAACTGACCCGAATGGGTTATGTCGAATAATTTGGTAAAAAATTAGAGAGTTATTCCAAAAAAAATCAATGTAAGCATCAATGCATCGATTTCTGTTAGTTTTATTTGGCCTTAAGTTTTATATATAAATGTGAAGAAAACATTTTTTGAAGTGCAGGATGAAGGTTGTTTACATACGAGTAGTTGCATTGCCATGTAGCGTAGAAATAGATTTTATCCTCCACCCTTCGAAGAAGAGAGGGCAAATTGCTTTGTTGCTTCTGTCTGTAGGTCGTTCATCCACTTGGTTACCGTTCATTTTCTTCGCCGAGGTTGCTCGTACTGAAATGATATTTGGTATACAAATTTATCGTAGGAATATCTAGGACAACCTGTTTCCTGTAAGTTCGAATACACTGTACAACATTATGTCCCTTGTACATTGAACAATTGCAATTATTGGTGGGATGGGGTAGGTGTTTAACAAACATCTCTTGCTATTTATAGCGTTTAATGGATGTCTTGTTAATATCATTGACAAATACCTGACTTGTTTATGCATTGTTACATTCATTTTGCATAAGAATATGACAAAAATACATTTTTGTTGCCGTTGTGGGTCCTCTCGGATTAGTTTATTTAGAGTTATAATTCTAAAAATAAAATCTTTTGCAGAGATGAACCTGAAAGGAGTAAGCAGTTTGTCAGTCGACCCTGGACACTTTAATACACTTTTAGAAGGTATAAAAAACAACACAAGTTGAAAATATAATTCATGAAAATGATTGTATTACATATATCAGAATTGACAAAAGCAAAATGAGGATTGCTAGGACCAGAACCATTAAGCAAAGGAGAAAATGGCTTCGACCTGCCTCAAAATTTATCATTTGCTTCTATTTATCTACTTGCATTACAACAAAATTATTAGAAATGAAAGCTGCATTTATTTCAAATCAAACCAAAAAAATTCAATTTAACTTGATTTAACTTGATTAATACTTTTCATAATATCGGATTATATACAACGTGCGATTATGGTAGTCGCAGCACCTAAATAACGTCATAGGACGGATACACGCCTCATACATTTAAACGCTTCGTTCGTTTCATTAAAATTATTTGAGATTCACGAACGTCTTCATAAATTTCACTTTTCTAAGTGAAGCTTGGTAACCATCTTACGCTCACTCTTTTAATGATTAATTCCTCTGTCAAAATTCTTTGAATAGTAATATAAGACCAACTTAAAAAATTCACTTATCGCTCTTTTTTGACAACGTCACACACCATTGAACGTCTCCGACCGCACTCCTATCTTTCCCTCTTTTTGCCATCTACTGAGCATTAAATGATCCATCACCAGGCTTATATCGCTGAAATTTTCTAAACAAGTCTTTTATTCACATTTTCCCTGTGAGTCTGATTAATCAACGTTACTGTCTCTACTGGCAATTTCTCCACTTTGAAGCGAAAAATGCATTACAGTTTGTTGTGGCGTAATTTTTCCATTTCGATATTTCCTTTTTTTCAATACATCGAAGTAAAACAGCGACATTTTTTGATAAAATAAATAGTATTGATGTCATATGATTTTCAACTAATGACTAAAATGATGTAAATGTTTGTCTTTTGAAATATTGACTGATTTCATTCTCTATGTAAGGTCTAAAGCTTTACTGAAGTTTTTCATGTTTTTTCTTTGTTATTTTAAGTATATATATATATATATATATATATATATATATATATATATATATATATATATATATATATATATATATATATATATATATATACACTCTGAAGACTTGAAGTAAAATATCAGATTGAATAGTTGTAAAACTTTGTTAAAAAACGATTGCACTGCCTCCCTTGCATGGGCTCTCTAGTGAAGGAGACTGGAATAGAAAGGAGCTGACAGCACGCAGCATTGTTAAGGCTTGAAAAAGGGGGAGGGGCCTAATTTATACGGGAAAAGTTTACTGTGACGTCACGAAAAAATATGACTTTTATGTATTTCTCATAATACGTGAAAATGAAATAATTTGCAACTTTTAACTGTCTTAGCATAATAAACAACAATATAACTTTTCAATGCATTAAAAAAGTTACTAGTTAAATCCCACGTAGCTGGTTATAAACATAGTACTGATTGCAAAGAACTTGTAAACATGACGTCATATTGGTAAACATGACGTATTTCATGTGCTATGAGAGGCTGATTGAGGCGTTTCTTAAAACTTAAAAATGCGTTTTATCATTAAACGGAATATTATTTATATAGAGGAAAATAAAACAAGCATGATTTTGTACACGTTTATTTTAATATATTGGCGATTGTTGGTCGTGGCTTAAAGCAACAAAGGGGTGCCAAGCAGGGCGATCCCAAACAATTTCAACAAGCAGCAATAACAATCAACATCAAAGCAAAATATTACATGTACATGTACTTATAATAAGCAAAACAATGGCCGTTCCGGGTATACCGCAAACGGTAATTAACCTTACAATTAAATTTTATGTACATGTATTTTAAATAAACTTTACAAGTTTATATGTATTTCGTAAAATAAAATAAGTTCTTTTAGGGGATATTATCTGTTTTGAGAATTTGTTTTTGGGGTTGTTTTATTATGTGTCTGGGTTACTGGATCTGGTTGTAAACTCTCGGCATCGTTCGCTTTTCCGCATGTGAGAGGTTTGAAGGGCCAGGGAAAACCTTCCTCCAATTCCCTGGTCCTGACCAGACAAAGTTTATCCGATTCGCAATGTTCCAGTTTGCATTTTATCTCCCTCGGATTTATTTATTTTCTTCCTGCTCGTTCAGCGCATTACAGGTTATGGGGAGTGGCGATGTTACCCAAACCTGTATAAATGCAACCAGAAAGAGACAAATTTCAGCTTTCCACTCTTTATTAAAGTAAACAATCTATTTCTAATATTTATAATTACAAAAAAAAAAAATAATTTTACAAAAGATTCTAAACCTTAATATAAATATAACTACTTATAATATAAAAAGTTTAACTTGTTAATTAAATAAGCCATGTGAAAATTTAATAATGTTTACCAAAACGGGCGCAAGTCTACAAAATAATCTTACCTGTATAAATGCAACCAGAAAGAGACAAATTTCAGCTTTCCACTGCCGAATTGTCCCACTGAGCTACATTTATACTCCCGTACAAGTCCTGCATATTTTAATGTTTCTTTAATTACTTTTATCCTTAGAGCTCGCGTTCGTTATCTTTGTCCGACTAAATGATTTATCTCTGGGAACTGTCCAGATTAAAAGTTAAGCTCCCATCGGTCTGCGTCTTTAATTCCTTTTAACCAAATCCATCTTTTCATATACCAATAAGTAGATTTATTTTATCCTCAGCGCTCGTATCTGCTATCTCTCTAAGCCGAATAGTGCAAATCCATAAAATATATTAGAATCTTATTTTTACTGCAAATTTTGTTATGATATGTATGTAGTTATTGTTCCGGGTTATCAAACCGCGAACGTTACTTAAGATATTTTAGCAAGCAAAAACAAAAAGAACTAGAGCCAAGCTCGTTGCAAAGCAACGAATAGGTCTTCCGTTGGAGCTACGGATAAGAAGACGTAACCTTGAGTCAACATTCTAAAGTTCTACAAATGAAAATTTAAACCTTTTAAGAGAAGCAACTTGCAATGTTTAGCTAGGAAAAAGACTGTAAAGGAATATGTGTGACCTTGAACTTTCCAAGTGACCTTAAACTCTCCAAATGACCTTGATCTAAGCAATGACTAGCTCTCGTTATAAAAATATTATCCATGTGTTACCGTCTGGAAAATTTCAAACATTTTGTTTAGATATTCTTTCTGTCCATGCATCCAACCAAAAACATCTTATCCTTGGAAACTTTGAACTCGAGTCAAGGTCACGTCCCACCCTGCATTAAATCAGCAAAGTTTCACTAGTAGAAAAATGGTAGCGAATTTACAGTTTCACTGTCACTAATCTTGACTCGTCCAAATGACTGGATATGTTCAGCCATGAGTTTTTTCTGACTATAATCGAGGCAAAATGATTCATTGGGTTCAACACAATGTCGAGACTATAGCTCAACTTGTTTGTACTTATAACAAAGGAAGAGAAAACTAGCCATTGCCATCAGACCAAAACTGTAGAAGGAGTAGCGTTTTAAAGGAATTTCACATAAATTTCTATTTTTTGTAATCATGACAACACCGTTCATCGAAATCAAAAACGATGCACTTAATTATGTATCACATTGAAGTCTACTTGTGTGTCCAGTTATATTGAAATCAAACTAAAAGTGTAGGAGGAGTAGCATTTGTAAGGAATTTTATACAGAAATTTCTATTTTTAGTAACCATGGCAACACCGTTCATTGAAATCAAAAACGGATGCACGATATTTTGTATCTTAGTGAAGGCTACTTATGTGCCAAGCAATATTGAATGCAGACAAAAACTGTTGAAGAAATCGCATTTTAAAGCATTCAAAAACCGATGCACTATACTACATGTATGTATCTTAGAGATGTGTACTTGTGTGCCAAGTTATATTGAAATCAGACCAAAACGATAGGAAGAGTAGTATTTTGAAAAATTGTTTACAGACAGACAGACAGCTAGACAGACGAACGGACGGCAGACACTTTACTGTCGCATCCCACAGACAGGTGGGACAGATATTAGTGTTGGCAACGAGTACCCGGTTAACCGGTTAACCGTTGAAAGTTGCGAGTATCGGTTAGTAAAACTGCTATTCGGTTACTCGGATAAAATAAATTCTACATAGTAAAGGCATATAAAAAGAGTGTTTTATAATTTATAAATGTATACTAACTTACACATTTCCCTAATTTTAGGTACCGTTAGATTTGATCTAGTGCATGGTTGTAGTGAATCAAATTGTTTTTATTAGTTTTCACAGTTTTTATAATTAATAGCTTTGATTGCCTGGGGTATACATATTTTGAAGGCCTGAGTGATAATTACCTCATTTGATAATTTATATAACGAGATGCCGCCGTAGACATAATAAGTTTGGAGTTGTAACAAAAGAACAGCTGATTCAAAATCTGTTAAATTTATTAATTATGGAGTATGTAAATAATTATTCTCCTTGATTGCGACATATTTCGGGGGGGGGGGTGAAAAAGAAAGTAAAAAATGGTGATTGACTGTGACGTATTTATTTGTCTTTGTGTGTTGAATTCCCTATTAATTTTCTTTATTTTAAAATTGAAAATCTTTGACGATATCGTTTGTGTGAATGTAAATATATTGTCCCTATACAGTATATTTGCGCATTACTACAACCGGTAAGTATAGAATAAGATGAATAATAGATATCGATACTTTAACCAAAAATCATCCGATTAACCGGGTACTCGATCGGAAGATGAAGCGAGTAACCAGTTACTAAAAATCGTCCGATTTGCCAACACTAATATTTATATATCGAAAATAACCAAATTAAATAAAGACATCATTTTTAAAGCATTAAATCGTAGCAAAAAAGAAAATATCAATGGATGCAACACTTTTCAGACGAGGGAAGAGATATGAACCTCTCATAAATACAGTACACATGTATCAGATCACTGCACGTAGGCAATCTAAAATGACACATATTATTTTTTCTTTGTATAACTTAACCCCCCCCCCACCCTAATTTCTTAGAAAATGTTTGTACAATCGAGAAAATCGGTTACTTTTCATAAAGACTACGACGTTTCTTTAATTTTCAAGAACCGTATA